TTTTGGTTCTTCTTAAAAGATTAAACTATCCAAAGTACATTGCGATTCAAAATGATACAATAATTAGTAACATTAATACTTTCAGGGCTATTTATTTATTTAGACATTAGTTTAGGCGATCATGTTGCCGTAGTAGTTCCTAAAGATTTTCAAAATACAAAAATAAGATAACTTTCTTAGTTAAATTGAGATTTTAAAGTAATTCAATACAAAAACCGAGTAGAATAAATAAATATTTGTAGATCAATATTTTTACATGATATTCTACGTAATATTTTGGCCGATCCCAAGTAATTTGAATAAAGGCGAGGAAAAAGAAGAAGATTCTACACGATAATTTACTAATCAGTATACTATGTGCAGAAAATTCGTATGTCAATTATGCGCACGTGTTTTTCAGATATTTTAACCTATTTTGAATCTTTTTCTGTAAGAAAACTTTAAAAACTCAATAGGTTTTTAAAATTAAGCATATCAAAGTGTAATATCAATTTTTTTTTTTTTGAAGAACTTAAATTTCTAAGATCTTGAAAAGAAAACATGTTTTAAAAAATAAAAAGTACACTTAAGTCAATGCAAAAAAGGCAAAAAACCTTAATAACATCTCAATATTTGTTTTTACTGTTATAAAATTCATTTATACACTTTTTTGAGGTGAAATTTTTTTGTAAGATTTACTTTTTGTGAATATAGAATTACTTTTCTAAATTATTAATGCCGTAAACTGGTAGTAATTTACAAATCTATTTTTAGTAGACTTCGAAAAGAGGAGAAGGTTATCAATTAGGTTGTATTTTTTTTTTATGTTTATTTCAACAGAACTTTGTAATTTATAAACCGATTATAAAATTGTTTTTTATTTAATAGAATATGTTTTCAAATTGGCCCCATAGAAATTTAAATTTTAATGGATGAATTCATCAAAAATGGTTAAGTATTTTGATTTTTAAATCAAAACTACTAGAAAAATATAATATCCAAGTAAACGATACTGCGTATTTTTCAGTTAAATTTATTTTGCGAATTAATACAACATGATATTAAATACACTTATAATTGTATAAAAATGTCCTATAACTTTTGCCGTCAAAACCATTTATAAAACTAATATTAGCAACTAGTGATAAACTTTTATTATATTTGATCACATCTAAAACTAAAAAAAAAAAAACCCAGCACAGGGGGGCGCGGCACAGTGGTGACGTGGCATAGTTGGATCAAGTATAATGATATCTGACAGTGATTAAAATCACTATCAAAAAAAAAACGCTTCGATGCAAATCTTTAGATAGTGTTTAATTTTAAAAAATTGGTGGATTATNTCATAAACGTAATATTTTATTTGTATAATTTTATCATTATTGCCTATAATGATAGAAAAATATTGTGTTTGCTAAAACCTGTCAATGAAACAAAAAAATTTGGTAAGTTTTTTGCCCGTACGGCTCTAATCCCATCCCGACCTCTTTTTGTCACATAATTTCCGGTATATTTCCGAAGAAAGACCGGCAATACCTCGTGACACTATAATGACTATGCCAAATGTGTAAAGTAAAACTCTTTTATGACGGAAATGGTACTTTTCAACACTGCCCATCGCCACCGTTGCTTCAGCGGTAATACAGAATATAAGAAAAGTATTATTTTTTAACAACACCAAATAGAAAAAATATAATAGACACAGCACAATTATTTAAATTCATATTTTATAAAAAAAAATGTCAATTATTTATTTTAAAGCAATATTATACATCCAGATTTAGACTAGGAGATTCCCAGTTGAAAAATATATTGCTCGAGTTGCGCTTATTATCCATCTGTCGCTTATATAATAATAATATTAAAATTAATTCATTAGTTATAATTAAAAAATGAAAAATATATAACATTCAATTTATTTTATAAATCAATCTTATCCATTCCGGAACTAAGTAGAGGTGAACGGGACACATAAATCTGTTCCAGTGCTTTTGGGGCTGCATACATAACACAGGTGTAACTAGGGTTTTGTTTTTGGGAGAAATATACATAGTAAACATTTTTATTTTTAAAAAAATTGTATCTTTACCATGTAATCATTATTATTTGGGGAATATAACCCACTTCAACACCCTCCCTTCTGACACAAAAGCCCCACAATTATGATTTGCCCTGAGCCTCGTATAACCTAGTGCCGACACTGAAACTTAGATTTGTAATAAATAACAATAACAGTATTTTTTTGTTTTCAAAATAATTAAACATAATAAGTTTAAAATACACATTAACCATAAACCCGGGTTTTTAAGAAATTGCCAACGCGCCAAATAAAAAAAATACTAACACACACACACACACACTCATTCGAACGTTTATTATAATTTATAATGTTCACCAAATGTTTCAAAAACATTGTATTGTGAAATTTTAACGTATTTATTTTAGTCCAATATGATAAAGTTACAAAACAAAAATTATTTTATGAAGTTCAAATTTTTGTTTTTCTTATATTTTCTATAATGAAACAAAAATATTTTGCTTGACATTATCGTCATGGGGTCCTAAAAATGCGGGTCCTGGCGTCATTGCTCTTAATGTCCTCCGTTAAATCTAGTCCTGTTTAAAAAGAGGCAAGTTCCTTAACGTACCTCTAAGGAACGTTTTGATATCATTAATCTTGTCATAACTAGTTACCAATTTTATTTTTTTTTTCGACTAATACCTGAAACCAGTTGTACATAAAGTAGGTGTCTCGGCCAGCTTCTATTTTTTTAACAATTTTTAAAATATAATAGTAATTGATCACTTGTGGCTAATATTATTTGCTGATTTAAAAACTTCTTGACAGCATCNGTAATATTATTTAAAATGTATAAAAACATATCTTGTTGTATGTATGACATTTGCTGATTTAAAAACTTTTTGACAGCATCTGCATGATCATTATTATTTAAAATACGATCGTACACATTTTAACTTGAAAAGAATAATTTATCTGGTCTTTGACCAGATTGACTACGTTTTTTTTTCGACCGAAATAAAGTCTTCAGCCCATTTTAATAATTATTTAAATCTTCAGGTGAATTATACGATAAAATATCAAAAGCTTTTCCAGATCTAATGTCCGAACATACGCCTTTGTAATAATGCTTTTAACTGTTAAAATAAATTCCAAATTGTTTCTACACTTAGAAATTAGGTGCGGATCTCCTAATGTTGACTTAAAGTTTTGACACAAGTAAAAATAACATACAAATATCTGGACATCAAGAAATGCATTAAGCGCAGCTGTGAATATGGCAAGTTCTCAAACTATCCATAGTGGACTCAAATTTGTATTTAGTGTTTTTATCATGTCAAACAATTTTTGATGAAAATTATTTTTTTTTTTGGTAATAAGGCCGGTGATCCCATTTTACGCTACAATAGGTAAAACGATTTTAACCTGATAAGAACCCCAAAATCAAACTATTATGTTTACTATTTATATGTATCAAAGTATATAAAATTAAATGCATACCTCCTAAAGATTCTGCTAAAATTACATTTGTTGCATATTGTAATATAATATTATAATAATTTTATTTATAGCCACTGAATCAATTTTAAATGATTGTTTATTTAATTTGAGTTTGAAGAAAACACATTTAACATTTTTTAATAATAAATGTTTGCCTAAATTATAACTTGGTACTTATTTTATAAAACAAATTAAAAAATTTTAATTTATTTATAACTAAAAAACAATTTTATTGTTATAATTGAAAACAATCAATATTGTGTAATATTCAGACCGAAACAATGAACCGAAAAGTGAAAACGATACAGTGTTTTGTGCAAAACGAAAACAGACAAGTATGAAAAATCTCCGCTCTGGTAATAACGGGTTAAGTGTTTTAATTACAGATTTTATCGCCAAACGAGCAAAAGAACAGTGGGCTAATTAAATTTGTCAAGTTAACAAATGCTGGGCAGGAGGGCGACACGATGTAGCAATGACGAAGAATGGGCCGGTTCCATTATTAGCAGCTTTGGAATGCCTATGTAATGGCCGGGAGAGAAAACCAAAATCGTCATCCCTTTTTGTGTGCTACAGCCCGTTTTAAAAGGCATTCCTGATTT